TTCAATTGAGAACATTTAAAAGGTTTCATTTTTACTTGTCAGAACTTTTCAGGATTGCACTTGAAATTCTTTAAAATGATCATATCTCCTGCCTAGTTTACCAGCCTTCATTTTCTCTTTCACTCTAAAAGAAACCATTTATTCTGAGGCCATCAGCAAATGAGGCTCCTTAAAACGGTAGGGAAGACTACACAGAAGGACCCTCCCTTTTATACTGGGAAACCGCTCAGCTGTCAACAAATTTGGATTGTTTTTCTTCTGTGCTACAGTCACTTCCTGAGTATAATTCAACACAGCCCTTGTGGAAGGCTTGATCTTCAGCCCAAATGCTGTGTGGTTTTGTTTACATCCACGCCCGTACCTGGTGGTCTTCAAAATAAATACTTTGATCTGACATAGCTTGGGGCTCTGTCATTGAGTTTAGGCACTGAGCCCCTTGAGTCCTGTTATCCCTGGGTTTTCCTGGTTCCTATTTCCCATAGTGTTGCCTTGTTTAAATTCCTGACTTCTGTCGTGTTTTTGCACCAGATTACCCTTTGGCTTGGCCGCTCTCTGTATTAATTTGGCTTTGACCCTGCTTGTGATTATGACACATTCTTCTGGATTTGCCCTTAGTGCTCTGGACTGTTTACGTCTCCTCCACCCACTTTGACTCCCACTTGCTCGACCACAGACCTATATACCCAGCCGGCTTCACAACCATCTCTGCCTGCTACACCACCGCACCACCTGTGAGCTGAGCTTTCTCAGTTCTCCTGTCAGGGAGTCTCCAGTTAGCCACAGAATCATGTCTGTCTGCAGGTGTGGTTACTAGGCTCACCAGTCAGCAAGCTGCAAGTCCCCAGCGTGCACGTCCCCGTGTCCTCCGGCCTCAGTAATGCGCAGCTCTGGGCATTCCCTGAGTGCTGCCTGTGGGCTCCCCAACTCCAACTTGGGTAGTTTGACATTACACCAATCACATAAAATAAGGTTGTGAATACCACTGTTTCTACTCCATCGTTTTATCTTACTCAGAAATTTAAAATGAATTAAAGGGGTATGAAGTGATTTATTATAATCAAGACTTTGCTGATGCTGTTCTTCCTAAACTGAATGTGAACCAGCAGATAATACAGCATCAGCAAAATGGTCCAGGGGCACTATTTGAAAAGAAAAAGAACTCTTGGCATGAGGTACGATAACCACAGACAGCAGTTTCCCTGTGGGTGAAGATGTACTAGAAGTTATTACAAGGCCCAGTCAACACAGGCTGACAGGAAGAATCTTGTGTAAATCTTGTTTGTGTCACTGGAGTGGAACATACTGGCGTTTTTTAATAGGTCTCAGGGCTCATACTGTATGTCCGACAATTGCATACCCTGTGAAACGAAGTAGAAATCAAGCCAGACTGCCATTTTCATACAGACTGGGAGAAGCTAACAGACTCACCTTGGGGTTTAAAATCAAACGTGGATTCATCTCCTTTATTTCTTTATAATTGCTCTTTATACTGGTGTGCATAACTCTCCCCCCACCCTACACTGCTGCTGTCTTCTCTATTCATTTGGAGCGGGATAAAAAGATCTCTTAATGTTGGTTCTGTTTCATTGCCAGGTCTGTTTGAGAAATAAGATAAGTTAATTGTACTATCCTCTCCTGTTGAGTCAGGTATTTGCAAAGGATCAGGTTTGGAAGTGTTGTGAAAATAAAAATCTGAAAACCAGAGCTCAGAAAAAACATCCTCGAGAGAAAAATACTCCCTGACAGTTGAAGCCTGCAGATATTTATCAGACTGGGTGATACCCCTTATTTAAAAAAAAGGCGAAGTAAAAAGTGGAGTCTGAAACGTCAATAGTGATATGTTTAAATCTGTCCCTTTAAGATTACCATGGCGGACAAATCAAATTAACCCCATATAAAGCATAATGGATTAAGCAAAAGTCATCAAAACAGCAGGTGGTCTGATGGTATGTGACAGATCAATCATTTTCGTGCAATTAGGGACTTAAAATAGAAGAACACAAGCAGTGCAGTTTCCCCTAGGACCTTGGCTTCAATCTAATAGAAAGCACTTACAAGCCTGTCCTGGCAGACTCTGACAGCTAAAGGTCCATCTGTCTCACAGTAGAATTACCTGAACATGACAGCAATGGAAGACAAAAGACAGGCCAAGAAAATGGAGTGGATCCACACTGCAATAAATGCAGCACAAAAGAATCTCTGTCTAGGCCACATTTAAGGAGAAAGAAGAACAACTCAGGGATAAAAGGAGTTCGAAATTTGAATGTCTGAGACACAAGGATTGCATGAAAGGCTGCGATGACCTTCTGATTGGAAATCACCTGATCCATTTGAAAAATAAAAGTATTTCTCCAAGTACTTCAACACACAAAGTAGTCACATTTACGCCTTTTCAGGAAAAGGCAGTCCCTTAAGCCTCAGAATGTATCTAATTGCTCTTCTCTGAACTGATTCAGTGTTTCTAAGTTTTGTGTCTGGTGAGGATCTACAGTACCAGATTCCTGGCTCCATCACTATTTCGATCTTCGCTATTGCAGAATTACAATTCTGTCGCTCCACCAGACCAGACTGATGTTCTTCAAGACAGTGTTTGGAATTTACTAACACAAAGTAATAAACACTGTGCACAAGGCCAATGTCTGGATTCCAAGTTTTGATTGCTCTCTGTGCTCCTCTACAGAAAACAACCATTCAGCTCATTCATTCTGATTCTAATGCACCCAGTCACTGAACAGCAAATTGCAAACCACCAGAGTCAAAATCACATCTGAAATATACAAGATGTGTGCAGCCTATTCAAATCTGGGACATGACAAGCTGACAAGACACCCAGGGTATTGATGGCAGGTTTGGGCAAAGAAATTCCAAAGGGATCTCTCCTTCATTTCTTCAGGAATAATTTCAATGCTAATTGATTACTTAAATAACCAGCTTTCCTTCTTCCTAATGGGGTCAAAGTTATTTTAAAACTGGATTTCAATCCTCACAGAGAGCAGAAGTGTTCTATTTATGGCACAGGCTCAACATTTAACACAAATAAGAGAGAGTGGAAGATGACAGTTTTAATTTCCAATGAAAACACTTAATTTACTAATACGGTGAAAGATTGTAAGTTCGAATTGATCTTTTATTACATTAAGTAGAAAAACGTAGGTCATGACTCCAATAAAACATACAATACAATGACTTCAGAAAGCCCAAAGAGACAGTGAATCAGTGGCTTGCACTGATTACTTTCCACTAGAAGTAGTCTTCTCAGACACAGGAGCAGAAAGGATTTCTGCTGTCATTGCACTCAGTCCTACATGTCAATATCCTCACATTTCAATCCTCCTCACTTCCATTCCTGTGAACAATTACAAAGTAAAACAACCTCAAATAAATGTGGCTATTTTATGTTTTCCCAAAGTCGAGCAGGACAGAATATAAAATATACCCTATGTATTTTAATCTAAAAATAGAGTGTTCTGAATGTACAAAATGCCGACAAACAACTGCACGAAAATAATAACCTTCTTTCACAGAGTAAACTTTTATTACAGTATATACTTTTCTGCAGTTATTCACATTCTGTCAGACGGATTTATTAAAATTACATAATATTCTCAATTTTACATTTCTGCAGGTTTGTTTCTCTAAGGTGTTCCAGTGTAACACTATATGTAAGTACCTTAGACACTTGTAAGCAGCATTTGGGAAAAGACTAGTGAGGTGAAGTGTTAAATATTCTGCAATATGCTGATGTCAGCTTACATTATTTTCTGCTTTTCCCTGGACACCTCACTACTAAAGACAGGCGCCAGCTGGTTAGCCTTCGAAAACCTGTCAACACTCAGGCAGTGCATCGTAATTTAGGACTATAGAGTAAGCACAATTAGAAATGATGTGCAGCAAAACAGCCAGAACATCCTGTATATGAAACTATCATATAAACTTTAAGTATAAACTTAATTGTTAAATTTCCTCTCAGAGCAAAATAAAAAAATTGTTATTTTTGCCTAATATCTCAAGTGCATAGTACAAGTCAAGCATTTTACAGACAGTGTATTGTCTGAAAGCAGGGACTGATGGTTTGAAGCACAGGAAGTAAATTATAAATTCTCTAAACACTCTCTTATTAATTAAAGCGTTATTAAAACAAAAAGACATGGTTTCAATTCTGTAATACCAAAAGAAGAAAGAACAGGCTTTATGTTTGCTGAGACTATGTAGGGCCTTGCTAATGTCATAATGTAGAATTCTGACATAAACTGTACAGTGTATACATGAAACTTCAAAATCATAAAAACATAATTAGCAAGCAGCATCACAAGTGATTTAACTACTAAAAGGACTTAATGCTACCTTTGAGCCTGGGCCAAGTCACAAGACTGTGACCAGGATTCTCCACTAGTGGAATACAATTGGACAAACACCTCCAAAGGCTTTCTTTAGTAATGGACATTAGTTGTCCTTGGTTCTCTCAAGTCTCAGAGACCGCCTTCGCCTCCTAGACACTTGCAGGAAGTGTTGTCTGTGAGGTATGCAGCTCTGCTTCGATCAGTGCTGAACCTCTGGTACAGGGAGGAGTTACCTGTGATGTGTTAAAAGGAATGGCTCAAAGATGGGCGGACTGAAGAGTCAACCTGCACTTCCTCATTCTTCCCTGTGTGCAGCTGTGGAGTTTGTAGCTGTGAGTCAAGATGTAAATAACACAACTGGCTACTCCATAAGCGGTGAGTATAACCGAAATAACTGGTGATTCTACGTTGTTAAAATATTTCACATACAAAAATGTTGTTCAGTGGTAACCCAAAGATTTAAAATTGTGTAATTCTGTGTCCAAACCACATGCAGGATATATTCTTCTGGCATCTCCATGTACAGAGAGAGAATCATATGCTACGGTCGTGAAATGATTTTGCTGGATTAGAAGGAGGCTAAACTGTCACACGTTTCTCATACCATGGAAAACAGATGTTCAGTTACCAAAAAAATCAATGTTTTGAAGTGCAACTCACCTGCTTCAGTTCTACATTCTTCTATTCTGCTCTTCCTTCTTCTCTTCCAGCAAAACATACCCATGAGGTCCATCTACATTTGCCACAGACCTGCGGTGTCTCCTAGACTTCTCCACCTGCCCCTTTGCACTGTCCTCTCCGAATTGCCCAGTCCTGTGCTGCTGGCCATTGCTGATCTCAGAATAGGCATTTTTGGAGATGGGAAGGTATGTGGGTCTGTGTGGCTGACCTGCGCTCATTTCACTATGAAAGATGGATCTGGATTTCTCTGAACAGGGACTTCTGTAAGTTTCTAAAACAAGTTCATCAGAGCTGTTAGTTGTGACAAGTCCTATTTCTAATTCACCAGCGTCCCATGGAAAAGGTGCTTCTTGAACACTGCAATCATCCTGTGGCATGGTGGCTGTATCATTCTCTCCATTTTTGATACTATGGTGGTAACATGGACTGTCAAGGGATTTTCCCTTCTTTGCATTGCAAGCACCTAGGCTTTTCTTGGGTTTTAGAAACCTGTGGTTCTGTTCATTGTCCTTCTCTGAGCTCGAGTCTTTCATTTCTTTGCTACTTATGCATTCAACAAATTGAAGAAAGAAGGGCTCATTTTCCTGAAGCTCCTTGTCTTGACAACCACTAATCGTCAGGGCAGACATCTGGCCCACACATTTCTCCAGGAGGTTCATGAGGTTTACCTCATCCCCTTTTCTGGATGGGCTGCTGGGGGGTTCGAAAAATCCCAGTGGCAGTGAAGGACAGGTCCCTCTAATGTCAAGAGATATTGACTTGTGGAACCCATCAGTTGCACAGTTGAGCACTTCTGTGGTTTTGACTTGTTCTATGAAAGATAAACAGGAGGCACACAAATGCAGATCCTTTGAGCTGTGCTTCAGGGAAATTTTGCAGGACTCACAGAGAGACTCCTTTTTAATAGCCAACAGGATTATAGCATTTGTACCTGAGCCTGGTGATGAAGCTATTTTTGTCTCCTTATTAAGGAAGTAAGACTGATCCTCACTGAAACATTTGAAACACCTACTATTAGTGGGAGTTTCAGACTTGCTTTCTCCATGCCCTTTAGTAATATTACATTCAGACAAAGCAGATGTTTTATCTTTATTAAGCATGGGGGGGACAACTCCAGAAATGGGAGTATAATTTTGCAAGCAGATAGGCCTTTCTTTGGCAGAATTCCTCCTCGAATCACAGTTATCTGTCCAATCCTGCTTCTCTGGCACTTTCTGTGTATCTGGAGAAATTGCCTTTACATTCAGACTCCCATCGCTTCCCCGTACCTCAGACCCACTACACACTGTTTCTGATGGGCTGAACTTTTCTGCTTTCTGTCTGAGCCAGTTAACAATCCCCATTGCCAAGGAAATTTCAGTGTCACAAAGCTTTAGCAGGCATTCCTTACCCTTCCAGTTGCTCTGTAGGAGTTCCTGGCTGATAATATCCAAAGCCAGAGGTGGAGCGAGGTTTTCTTCTGCACCGACATGAAAGCTATGCATAGACAGAGGAAGCTCACTGGAAAGACCTAAAATGCTTTCTGTTACGCTCATGTTGTCATCAAAGATTGGAGTCATCCCTGACTCATTGGGGTCATAGAACAGCTCATACAGTGCGTCACCACTGTAGCTATCTCTTGGAAACCTGGTGGAGCTGCAAGGTGTTAGAGAACCCTTGCTATTATCCTCTTGTCCTGGGCTGAGTGAATCATAGTAGCCTTCATCACTCGTGGAGATGGATTCCTGGTTGTCGCTCTTTGGTGTTGCCATATCAGCATTCATATCCACCTGCTCCTGCTCAGACGGAGTAGGAAGGCTAGCAGGGGACGACACATTTGGTTTTTCACTTGCTGATTTAGTGGGAGTGGATTTCATTGGGTTCGGCTTCCTACCTTCAATCCTACGGTTCTGGTGCAACAGGAAGGCGTTGCCCATGCTGCCCCACTGTCCTAGGAAGTCCATGACCTCCGTTTGGGCAGGAGATGCCAGCTGCTCGATGCCTCCCTGGAATGACCCCCCCACTGGGCTCGGCTTCCTTGGTTCACAGATGTCTTTGTCGGGGTCCCTTCTCTGTTCCATCTCCAGGGGGACGTTCTGTTCATCATCAGCAAATATTTCCCCACAGCCTGTTTGGGAATCAAAGCTCTTTAGGGATGCCACGTCTTCACAAAGATTACTACAGCACTCATTAGACGAGTCTGATGGGGGGTCACTGTTGGGGTACTCCTGTGAAGCTGAGCACCCAGAAGAACACTCCTTATGCTTTTGGTGTCTTCTTGACCCTTTTGAGTTGACCTCTGCTCTGCTGCTCTCATGAGGCAAAGCACCCGGAGAGTTGGCTTTTTCGTGCTTGTTCCTCTTCATCCCAAATAGATCTCTGAACGCTTTCCTTGGCTTCCTCAATGAGATCCTCTTCTTGGGAATGGACTTGGCAATGGATGGCACAAAGGGCACTTGAGGCACAAAGTTCCTATAGTCGATTATTTGCCGTCCGCAACTGGAAGTGCTGCGGTTTTCTTGCAGCTCCCTGCTACCTTCAGCAGAGATTCCAAACCCAGAGAAACTGACACTGCTAACCAGCCTTCCTCTCCCCTGAGCAGAGAGGGTTAGTCCTCCCTCAGTGCTCCCTGCTTCTTGTGTTTCCTGCAGTCCCACTCCCGCCACGCAGTCATGGGTCTTGCTTTTCTTCACGGATCTTCCCTGGACCCAGTCCTGGGAGCATCCTTCAGGAGGATCTGCAGAGAAAGCGTCTTGTCCTGACCTGCTGCTGGCTGCACTGCTGGGCAAGGGGGTGCACAACAAGCCATGGTCATCCTCACCCAACTGGATGTCCACTATGGTGTTGATATGACCCTCAGGAACCGGTAGGCTGCTTCTTCTAAGGTTCTTTCTCAGCTCCATGGTGGCACCTCAATGGGTATTTCTGTAATGAAAAAAGAGCACAGCTGCTGTATTTGTGCACTTTTACACATATCATAATGACTTAACATCTTATGTCATGTCATTAACCAAACAGCTTTATATCATACAGTGTCATGGAAAGGCTGAGCCTACCGGCAAGCAACAAGCGCAAGGCAGGGTACACCGTGGACATGCAGGGCAAGTGCAAGACAATCATATATGGGGTAAATTTGGAGGCCACGGTAAAGGCTGAGGGGGGGAATTTGGCCCGGACACCGGGATAACCAGGATCTGTAATGACCACTGAGAGTCAGCACCTCAGTTTATCATCTCATCTGAAAGATGGCGCACACTACAGTATAATGTCCCTGCCACTATACCGGGACATTAGGACCAACACAGCCCGCAGGGTGGGTACTCCCCACTGATCCCACTAACACCACATCCAGCAGCAACCATAGCTTCCCAGGAGGTCCCCCAGGTTCAACCCTGCTTAGCTTCAGTGGGTAGCCAGTTGAGAGCTGCAGGGTGATATGGCTGCTAGCTCTTAACAGCTTATTTCCATTAATAATATTATACACTCCTCATTCTGATTATTAGTGCTTCTTAAACTTCAGGTACACAGGTTTGTAACATGAAAGTTTGTTTTGATGGAAAACCATTGAGATAATCCTAATAAAGAATTAAAAGGACTAATATAATAGTTTTTCGGTGATGGTGTGTCTATGGTAAAGAGAAGCACCCAACTGAAATCAGGAATATAATGTCAACTAAAACGATATTTTGTCTTTTGTTTGTAATTTACCACAATGGAAGGAAGCAAAAGTAATTCTTTGAATACTTTATTTTTCCTAATAACTTTGTTAAAAAAAAAACAGGATCAATTTCCAATTCCAACATGATCAATTTTGGTTCACAAGTCAATATTGATTATGACTTGCATAGACACACATCCACTATTATGGTAAATAACTCCTACATCACTGGTTTGTGAAATGTGTTGCTTCAGAGGAACATCTATTTTCTTAATCTTAGTAACACAGCTTGGTAATATGACAGTCACATGAATGCAATCCTATTTTAGTAACTACTTCATAGAGGTAGATGAGATGCTTGTACTAATTGGTTACTCTCTGCCAAATAGGCTAGATCGGCTGAATGGCATCTTATTATTTGGAACCTTATTATTTTGTATGTGTTTGCAAAGCTAACATTTCTTTGTATATAAGAATGTCGGAGTTGCACTCCATTGTACAAAGCATAAAGTATAAATAAACATATTCAGACTAGATCTCAACCACTTAGATTAGAAAAACTCCAAACATTGAAACGTAAAATCTCAGCAAAAGCTGTTGCGCACCCCACTGAACCTTACAGGAAAGAAAGCAGCCAATACACATTGAGGAATGTACAGTATTTCGGTATATTGTTGAAATGGTTTGTTAGAAAGCCTATAATACGCGCTGACCTGGTAATTCTAAAGGTCGCTGCAAAATATCAACACGTCTTGAGTCATTTGTTCTTTCAAAGAATTTTCAAATGTGTGTCTGTTGGCCTTAGCTGATTTAGTCACGCATATGTTAACGCCCAGGAAAATGAGTACAAAACAATTAATCGACTCGTAAAACGTCTTCGAAACTCTTTCGCGTAATTAATGCTTGGATTATTTTAAAAAAAGTATTTTCGTCTATTTTACACTCGCTTAAAATATTTAAAATCACGATCAGCTTCTCATCGTGGTACACTCCCCGACGTGATGTTGTTCTCGTGTTGGAAAAGATTATGAAAAGAGTATGAATTCCACAATCAGCACTTCGGCTAGTTCCCCCGCCTCCGGCTCTCACACTTTCGCATTCAGAGCACATCTCTGCAGCCCCTGAACAGGCACCGTTCAGGGCGACTCTCGTTACCAATAAATATGGCGAAAATGAAAAAGAAATACATTGTTTACTTACTAAAAACAGGTCAGGAATAATTAGAAACAATCTTAACACTTAAGGGGTCTACGTCATATATGAATAATACATTATTCTCAAGGCAACAACACATTGTTTTAAACACCGGCTACCCATAAATTGCGGTACTGTCAAACAGGCATACTGTACCGTAGACTGTGTGGCATGCCATTACAAATTAATTATTGAAGCCATACGTATACCCATTACAATTTTGGATAAGGAAAATGGTTTAAGACGTTGTCGCAGTTACAGTGCTTTCCCCAAATCCAGCGCTTTCAAAACAACAGATGGTATAATTGAGAAAAACACCCTTTATTTTTTCCTATCATTTCAAGAAGATTTCCCTCTGGGTTTGTCTGTAAGGAATATCCCGCAAAATCATTAATAATACACGATGCCTGCATATAACAGCAGTAACAAGCAGAGATACGGTACCTCACTAATATAAATCAAGCAAACCGTTAAAAAAGCCGATATCCTAGGGTATGCTTACCTGTTTTTAAAGGATGTGATTCTGGGGCACCATTGTAAACCTGAACTGGTTACTATAGAGATGGTTCTCCTCTCTCTCTCAGTCTGCACGGTGCACTTACAAGCTAGAGCACCATTCCAATGGCAGGAAACATCTTTCTTAACGTCTCCCAGTAACAAGGACGAACTTGCACTGGGGGAAAAAAGGGTTCAGAACAACACGTCAGGCGGGCCATTTAACCACGCAGACCCATGGTTTTGTTTTTAAACTGACAAGGCTACCAATAATATTATATGTAGCTATACATTTATAATATTATGTTAACGCTGCTTAATGATCAATCCGCTATTGCACATAGTATTGTAGAATAAACAACATCGTAGTGCGGTTTGGTTACATTACAATGCTGATGACATACAGTAGGTTTCACCAATTTCATACATACGGTATATACTGTATACCGTGCGTGAACTGTACATCCGAGCTATGTAACTACCAGGTAATACCGTATCGTTTAACGCACATTTTCGTATAAAATATAGGGAAAAAACACCCCTTACCTGTTCCAATTTAAAAATGAATATAAAAATAGTTTTCCTTTAAAATCTAGGAAAAAGGAGTGGGGACAAAATGTAAGAAAACAAGCCGTACCTGTTTCAGCATCTTGTGAGAGCCGAATCCCGTGCCTGCCACTGGAATGCACTCGCTCTCATCTCTCGCAATACGAGGGGAATGGATATCCCAGCAACCACTGGCTCGGAATGCTAATAACGCAGCCAACCTGTTCATTAGTCCTGGAATGCGGGAGGCACATTCACAGCAGCAACAGGATCGAAAGGCTGTTCGCACGTTCGTTTTGTAGGGATTCAGTGTGGCGTGCACAGCTCTGCTCCTGCCGCTCTTCCAGCATGACTGCGCGCATTTTACTTGTATTCCGTAAAAATAATGCTGGGGGAGGCGGGTCGCGTGGCGGTTAGCGCGAATGCATAGCACCTCTTGTGTTCTGGGTGCGAACTTTGTGTGTGGAGTTTGCACGGTCTCAGTGCATATGTTGTCTGGGTTTCCTGACTTCCTTCCACCTTGCAATTGGCATCTATAATTTACACACACACACTTCACCGCAAGAGCAGAAAGTAGCCCTGCCTTTTGCCCTGTGCTTGTGGCACTTTGCAAATGAAAACACAAAGGCGCTCTTTCAATTTTGTATTGGTATTACAGTATTTTAAAAGGATTGTACCTTCAAACAACTTCGCGAATAATAGAAAATGACAAGTGCATGTCGAAACATTTTGCTGCATCACATTTCATGTCTACCAGACATTAGTTCCTGTTTCACCTACACTAATACCACTTGTTGTATGATGGATAATTGATAGATTTGCATTTATATCTGTTATTTTGAACATTGGTTTGTTTGCAAACTGAACAAGTACTGTAGCTTGTAGGTTTCCAAAGTAACAGTTTAACCTGTAAATTGGTTATAACCAGCTTCCCAAATAAACCATAACATCCACACTTTTTATTGAGTCAATGAGTCATGTTTATATACTGAGCATCAGAAATTCTCATTACTTATATCTGTAACAAATTCCAGAATGATCAGGGAAATTACTTACAATTTTAACAGGCGGACTGACATTTGACCTTTTAATTCAACTGTTTAATGTTTGTCCTGAATGAGGTTGATCTGGAGACCCCCTGCTCTGGAGTGTTAGCCTGCTAGCACGTGGTCACTGCTGGAATCAATACAAGTTCATAGATCTGCAGCACATTCTTTGCACCAGATTGAAAACTGTCTGGTGGGGTGAACAGCGTAATGAATACGCCCCTGCGCATAACAGGGATGTTGGCTGCCCAGGCTGAGAAAGGTATTCTTTACCCCTGTTGAGTGATGTCGGAGACCTGGGTTTGATCCCATCTGGTGAGGGATGAACTGGGGTGCAGCATGAGAATGTTCATTGACCTGCAGAAACATTTTCACCAAAGGATGTGCCCACAGGATTATTGTTGTTGTTGTTGTTGTTGTTGTTGTTGTTGTGAATAATAATTTATTTTAAATAGCACCTTTAAAAGTTCAATCTCGAAAGTGCTTAATAGTTGGTGAAAAAAACAGAAAACGGAAAGCAGAGAGCAGAGGGCAGCAAGGCAGGAGGTCACAATGGAGCTTTTGTTGTGTCATCAGCGGGGCCTGTGCACCTAGCCGCTTCACAAGAGCTCCGGGAAAGCAGATAGCGGAGCCAGCCGCCATCACGAGGAGCACTTGTGACCGGGGAGTCACGCTGGTCCCCCAGCCTGTTCCCTGCTGCCTTTGCGCCTGCTGTGGTCTTTGATGCACTTCTAAAGCCGCCCTGATTGAAAGAGACGAATAAACTGAGCGCAAGCTTTCGGCTGAATATTTATTGATTGAAGTGTCAGAAAAATCATCAGAAACCACATTGCATCTTTACATTATTTTTTCGCTCAACCAATATTTATTATTAGCCATTTATTCTGTGTTGCTTAGTAATGTATAGACACTATTATGAAAAGGCTTAAATGATACGTGGCATGGTAACAACTGTGTTTACATTCTTGACTGATTTAATTTTCCGACGCGTCTAGGAATCTGGCGGTCTATGTAGCACAAGTGAAGCTTGCAAGTTTCCATCCTAACGCCATTTCAAACTATCGTTCTGCCTCAAGGTATCCACTCATGTCTGGACCGTACAGGTGCCGGTGTCGTATCCATTTCAGCGTCACCCCCAAAATCCGCTCAGAAATGCGCACGCGCGCCCCCAAACTTTCCAGGATACGTAATGATGCATGAACTCGTGGCACATTGCTGTACAGACTGTATTATTATGCAGATATAATATTATATCTCCCTATTTCTTTTGTTTAATTACAATAATAATAGGGAAAGGCGTCCGTAGTGCGGTCCGCATCTTTTAAACCTACCATCTGGACAGATAGCACGGTATTTGGATTCCAGCGCTGCGGCGCATGCTCCAGAGGAGGAGTCCACGTGTCTTACTCGCAAGCACTGACAGCTCAGTTCACTGAGAAGAGCAGAGCTGCGGGATCGAGCGACAGGAGGGTGGCTACCGACATGGACGGAACATCGTTTCAGCTTTACTTAGACTATATTCGGAAGGAGCTAAATGCACAAGACCCTGCTGTACTCGGGGTGATCGTTGCCCTGTTATTAGTTGTCCTCACTATAGGTAAGTAGAAGAGGGAATGTAGTGGAAACAGGCCCGAAATACACCCACGGCGACGGAGTTACAGCGTACCCCGGTCTTGAAGCGCTTGTATTGGGTCTTGCGCAGATATTGCCGGCGCTAGTCTCACTCTAGCCTAGTTATGGGCTAAAAAACGGATCAGGGGCGGCTTAGAACTTAACGCCGTCTGTTGTCTTTATTTGTGTATTCCAGTGTTTATGAAGATCCTGTGGGGTAGAAAGTCCACACGAAGGGCAATTCTCCTGACGGGGCTCTGCGACTCGGGGAAGACGCTGCTCTTCAGCCGTGTGAGTGCTGCAGCCTCTGTCTGCTGATGCGGCTCTCGCACGGTGTTTTCACTCGCGCTGTTTTAGAAAGTGTCGAGACGACTGATCGGTGCGTTATTTACCCCTGGCGCTTAGGGTTTGTTCATTGAATCCAAGCAAGAAAAGCTCTGCACACCGTAGGCTGGCAAGACGCACTTTATGGGGAGCGTTAATGAGCTAACATTTTGTAAACGCGGCATGTTTAATGAATTAAACGGTATTTAGTCTGGTAAACCAATGACTGATTTGGTTAATTTTGCAGCTGCTGACCGGGAAATTTAAGAAGACTCAAACCTCCATCACAGACAGCACTGCAATATACAGGACTAAAAGTGACCGGGTAGGTGTATCTTCATGAGCGACATTATTTCACACATAGGCATAATTAATTTATACTGTATATTTGAAGTCTTTAGAGCTTCTCCCCAGTCATTTGTAACTGCTGTTTGTTTGAGTCCTGTTTGTCTTTTTATTTTTCTTGTGTAAAACCCAAATAAAAATGTTTTGGTGTAGACAGTCATTTTTGCCTTTATATTTAAATATCCTTTTTCCTGTGCTTTGATTTGGCAGTTTTGTACAACTGGACACTTCCAGTACTGAGTGAGAAGTGTATTCATGGCCAGTATGTAACCACGGTGTTTGTATCTCTGTGGGTCTACTGTATCCATTTTGCAACTGGAGGTTTTATTGAGCACATGAGGTGGTGTGTTGGTCTTATGGTCTGCTATAAGACCTGAAGCCCTGTTTTGTCTCTCCTCACAGGGAGCTGGCATGACTCTGATCGATCTCCCGGGCCACGAGAGCTTGAGACCTCAGTACATAGAGAAGTTCAAGTCTTCTGCCAGGTGAGGAGAAGGACTGACTGATGGTGACGTAAGAGACGACAGAGTTGGGGTGGAGCGGAGAGGGTTTTTTTTTTTTACCTGAGCGAGGCCGACTTCTGATCACCGCTTCTGGCCGCAGGGTGATCGTGTTTGTAGTGGACAGCGCCATTTTCCAGAAGGAGGTGCGGGACGTGGCAGAGTTCCTCTACTCCCTGCTGACTGACAGCGTCGTTGTAAAGAACGCCCCAGCTCTGGTGGTTGCCTGCAACAAGCAAGGTACTGGGATGAGACGCCTTTCTCGTTTTCCACAGTGGGGAGATCATTTCAACCTTCGTGTCCATGGAAACTGTTGCCCTTGCAAGCAGTTGCGTGGAGTTTGGTTTGGTGAGCTCGTACAATTGTATGACGTCAATCTAAATATAAAACATAGGGCCAGTAATAAACGGCACCCCCCAAGCACATCTGCCCATAGCACCTTAACACACATCAGTAGATCTTGAGTTCAGTTTATGAGACGAATAACAGTGAGACCTAATGAGATGTGATGGATATAGACCTGGGAATTGTAAATCACAGATGTTTGTCTCCTCTCCAGATGTTACCATGGCAAAGTCAGCGAAACTCATTCAACAGCAGCTGGAAAAGGAACTGTGAGTATAATTGCGTGCAGTTTCAATTCTCTACCCTCGTCGAACGGTCACGCTCACAAGTGGGCTGGACATTGTGGTTAGAAGTCTTTGTCATGGCACCAAGATAGTGTGCAGATCACTTGTTGTGTTGAATTCAGATGAACTGATTAACTTGATTTGAAACTTGTCAAACGTTTGCAAAATGTTGTCCCTCAGAATGTCAGTGCTCTGTGTCAGCATCTCTTCTATTACCAAGATCGTCCGTATTTGGTTTGAAATATTAAATTTGCCAAAATATTTTGTTTTTGTATTAGAACTTTCCCTTTTATAAACACATTTGAAAGGTTGGAAGACATCTCATTTGTGTTCAATTCCCTCTAAATGAGAAAATACCTTTAAATCTTGAGTATAAAACATGAGGCAGTACAATTTTGCCTAGCTTTATCAAACAGCTTTCAGTGCAGGCAGAGGAAGGGTCAGTGTAGCTAATTGCTTTGTTCTGGTAGGTTGTATTGCTCTGTTCAGACCTCAGTAAATAGTAAATTTTGCATTCTACACCATTAAATTCCTTATAGACAAACCATTTATAGCTGTTCCCCACCGTTCTGATGGCTTTCTTCTTTTATTAAAATGTAGATTTGAAAACTAAAAAGATTATTTTATTCTTACTGTGAGGAGACTGAGGAGACTCGTTTGTATAATAAAACAAGTTATGCTTGTTTGAAGTTCCTTTTCTAAATGAAGAATTACAATTATTTGAAAGCTACTGATTCATTTGCAAAGAACCCGGAATACAGCATCCACAGCATTTTCTGAAAAGGTCTGATCTTAAGCAGGAGAGTGTTGTGCATTATTTTTTTTAAAGGAAAAGTGTAAGAATTGACTTAAACAGCTCATCTAAATTGTTAGTGGAGTGTTTACTAGTAAAATCGTGAGGATAAATTTAAAGTGCTACATTCATCAAGTGCCTGATGTACGGTTGGAAATGAGTAATTTACTGTGGATCTGCTTGATATGTTATGAACGCCTTTATAATTCATAGCTGAGGACCACAGGCTTCTGTACAAAAGATCTGTTGTGAACAGCTGTTCTCTAGCCAGTTGCAGGGCTTCTAGAACACCGAACAGCCCCCTTGAAGAGCCCTTGTTTTCTTGTTCCCTAGCAACACTCTGCGAGTGACACGGTCCGCAGCTCTGAGCTCCCAGGATGGGTCTGCTGGAGGGGGCACGGTACCGCTGGGCCGGAAGGGAAAGGAGTTCGACTTCTCCCAGCTGCCCATGAAGGTGGAGTTTGTGGAGTGCAGCGCCAGGGGGAGCAAGGGCGAGGAGGGGCAGGCGGATGTCGAGAGACTGGAGATATGCTTGGCCAAGCTGGCCTGAGAGGACTGCCTTGCTGCAGCCATGCCTGGAGCCCAAGTGCCCTGCCCAGCTCTGTGCCCTTGACCTTGGGCAGCTTTGGATTCACCAAATAGCCTCCCTGGAAAAATAAAAGGAGCATTGTTCGTTTGTATGCCTTTTCTGTCAGGGGTCTAAGAAACCATATTAATGTTGCTATGAAATCCACGTCGGTAAGAGCTGTTGATTTTAAAGTGCTGCCTAAAACTCATAGGTTTAAAGCTTGACTGTCTACCTGCCTTGCAGTAGGACTATCCGAAGCGCCAAAATGTTTTTGTTTTTAAAAGGTTAGCTTTAGCTTCCTTATCACTGTCATCTTTCAAATATCTGTACAGCCTTAGCTCATGTTAGCGAAGCAGGTTCAAAAAGTAAAATTTGATTTGCAATTCTTTTCGTCAGAGGAGGCTGGTATTGCGACATTTTCTCGTTGTCTTCGCCTGCTTATGCTGATCTGATTCCTTTTTTGTAAAGGCTTTATTTTTTTCATGTTTCTCTTAGGTTTTTGCCAAGTCTCAGGCTAGAGGGTCATTCTCTTTGAATCTTTGAAATAAATTGTTTTCAGAGTTTAAAGCATGTGGTTTGTGAGTTTATAAATAATGGAACGATTGTCTATTGTGTAGGGGGATGGCGATGCTGTAAGACTTTTTATACTTTGGCGTTTTATTGTGCTCTTAAGTAAGTGTACACACAGAGATGCAGGAGACTTGCAGTACTGAGTGGTGTTGAACAGGTTTATCTATCTCAGCCATTTCTTTAATATCTTGGTACTGTATGTGTTGAGGATGTTTTCTGGATTATTGTTTCATTAACACTTAACAAGCACCAACATTTGGATGGCAACGTTCACCCTCTGGTGTTCATGATATGAAACTACGCAGTGTTGAAGGAATGGGAAAGGCTCACGTTTGACTTTTGCTCTTTTAGCCAAGTGGCAGTGGAGCCTTCTCCGGGGTATTGACTGAGGACACTACATAAGCTGGCATAGAGAACCTTCAATATTGACGATGTGCGCTTGTCTGCTTGGAAAAGTAGAGTGTGTAAAAAGAGTTGGGTAAAGGAAAGTCTGAAGTCCATTGGAAGGTGTGTCCGCTTGCTTTTTGAGACGTTTGCAGCTTATCTA